AGCAAAAAAAAAAACACCCGTTCCCTCAGACGACGTCTTGTTGTCCAAGGTCTCCACCCACTGCAACGACGTACCCCAGCACAAGCAGTTGAGAAGTGGCCGGCATTTCACGAAAATGAGGTCTACCCCCACCACTTCATTGAAGGGCATAACTCGCTGCAAGTGCGCAGGCCGATGAGGCTGAGGTCGCTGTCTTCGAATGCAGATGGGACAGCGGAACCCGCGTTTGGCGTATTCCAAGACTTCGGGCTTCGCCCCGGCGTGCCGTAGGGCACGGAGGAACGTCGGTTGATCCGGATGTCCAAGGTTGCGGTGCACTCTATAGAGTTCTCGTCGTAGAGCAGGTGCAAGAGGAGGACTTTCTTCCGCATATCCTTGACCATCCTTCACAAGGGACTCCTCATTGATTGGGATCTCTCGAAGTTCCCTCGCCACTTGTGCTTCGTCATCCTCTTCTCGTCCTCCGGCGTCAATGACTGGTCTTTCCGAGTCGCCCGCCGCCTCCACTGCGTCCATGTCGTACGCAATCTCGGCTTCATCTGCTATCGCTCCAGCGGCTGCTGCGGCGGCAGCCCGCTCGCTGCATCCACGTCTACTCCCCAAAACTCCACGAGTCGGAAAGAGGAGTTGCCATTCCGCCTGAAAGGCGGCCTCATCGTGAACGTAAGCGTGCAGACAGTGAGAGGATGCCTTAGCCAAGTGAGAGGCCCAATCGATCATAGCTTGAGGCAACATAATGGGCTGAACAATCTGAAAATAGGTGAAACCTGTCCACTTGGTCTCGTCCTTCCAGGACGTGGGCGACAGCTTGAAATCATCCTCCAAAAGCTGTTGGCGTCCATTGACGAACATCAGAATCGTGCTGCGCTTGCCCGTGAAGTTGACCATGGACAAATCAAAGGGGCACTCCGTGGGGAGGGCCAGAGCCTGGCGTGGCTCGAAGTGACGACAACAGAGTTCTCCATGTCGCCAATCCCAGGTGTCTTCCATATGGAAGACGGGAAAATGCAAAAAGCTGAGATGCTTACGCATGCCACGCAACAACGCGTCCACGAAGGGCACCGTGTAGATTGCCGCATCCTTGGCCGTGCCATTGAGCAATGGCCCATGGGTCTTGTGGTGCCCGTCGCAACGGCGAGCCATTGACGTTGCCAGGGACTCGATGTTGGTGAGAAGGGCCGTGGGTTTGAGGACTGGCTCTCCAGTCCTTGACTGGGTCAGCCCAAAGCGGCACATGTGCAACCGGACTTTGTAGACGCCTGCCAGCTCCTCCAAGGCGCGCATCGCGGGAAGTCGCCAGCTTGAAGCTGCCAGCGGATGCTCGAACACAAATCCTCGTCCTGCATCATGCTGAACCTTGGCAATCTGCACCGCAAACTCCACGTGCCTGCGTCCAGCTGCTTCTTCTCGTTGACGAGCTTTTGGGTCGCGCTTGTAGTTGGATAAGGACCGCAACGTCGAGAAAGTAGTACACGGCGGGCTAAGCACGATGAGGCTGGGCCGGTGATCGTTGATGAGACGGAGAGCTTCTTCTCGATGGTCGCGTTTGTCAAAGTTCCATCCAGTGACCAGATCCAAGGCAAAGCCGGGGCGGAAGCCAAAACGCTTGGCCCTTGTGATCACCCGGGGAGGTGAGTAAACCTCGGCGACCATAGCATGTTGCCCCAAACGCTTGGCCACGAAGCAACGCTGTTCCTTGGTGAGCGGGTGTGCTTGACCAAAGTCATTGATCAACCAATCTCCATAGCGGTCGTGGTTGTCGAAGACATAGCACCAGTAACCACAGCGTCCTTGTTCTGAAACCGAGCTCTCCAACTTCCAAGATCTTTCCACAGGGTTCCAGCTCATCGTTCCACTGGGTTGCCCAAGTAGTTGCGGCCAACCGGTCTGGCTTCCAAACTGCGCCATAGTCAGTAGCAACAACACTGACTTCCACATCCACCCGCCAGAGTGAAGTGACTCTCGAAGTCCACCCCAGAACTCGTCCTTTCGATCTTGAAGTTCTCGACCGCACATGATCACGGCGGGCCCGTGTGCTCGGCGTCCTCCGGCATCTCGATCATCTCCGAGTCGGACCTTTCCGACTCCGTCAGCAGGAACTCCTCCACCTCGTCCTTCATGAGATAGCCCGCTGAAGCTGCCGGCCGCATCTTGTGTGGCCGAGCTGGATTCACCCCCGACAATCTTCGCGTTGGTGACGGGCTCTTTCTGTCCGAACTCGAAGCTTTCGACCCACGGGTGTTCGTGGTCATGCGTGGCGGTCGGCTCGACGAAGTGAACGGTCCTGTCGTGCTGGTAGTCGCCGTTGTGGTCGTGGATGCCGGTGGGGTAGTTGTCCTCGTAGGTTCGACAATTCCCACCGTTCGAACCTTCACCTTCCCCGTTCGCTCCATCACCACTTCTCGTTCGCCTTGCTGAGGCCGAGCCTTTGGGGGAGGAAGCACCCGAGGAAATTCCTGCCCTCGAGCATTGACCAACTTGGTTGGGAAGCCGTCCGTGAGGTGATGGTCGGGCATCGTCGCGATGGGTGGCAGGGTGTTGGACTCGTCCTCCTTCAAACGCTGCCACCGATTCCCGCATCTCGTACACGTCCACCAGTGGTTGTTCACGTTGGCTCGGCAGCGAAGAGCGTCGGCATGGTGTTGACACTTCTCCGGAAGCGTCGGAAAGTGCTTGTGTGCTTCGCTTCGGGGAAGAGGCCGGCCGATCCCCTGGAAGATGTACTCGTTCTTGTTGAACGTCTTCTTGTTCTTCTTCTTGGTGCTCTGATCCTCCGGGTCGGCCCGGCTGTTCTCTGGCTCCAGCTCGATCGATCGCTGGTTCAGGTGATCCAACACCATTTGCTGGCGCGCGGTGACCAGCATCAAAATCAGCGCCTTGACAAGACGCTTCCAAGCCATCTCGCACTTGGCTTCCCCCATCCGGCGTGCTGGGCGCGTCGGCTCCACCTCCGCAGCCTCCTTTGCCGCCATCATTTCCACTCGTCTGCGCAAGGACGCCATGAACTTGAGTTGGAGTGGAAGGTTGGGGCCGCCAACGTGCTAACCAAATTTGCAATTTGCCGATCATTCGCTCGAGCAACTTGCCTTCAGCGAAGACTGACGACTTTGGCATTTTCTCAAGAACATGCTCCAACTGATGCTCACACTCTTCCATGGATTTCACATCCACATCAGTGTCAGAGTCTCCAGCATGCAAAAGAAACGCAGTCACTGGAGTGGGCGCCGGAAACCCTAACTGCTCTAGCTGTAGTCTAAGATCACCAGCAATTTGAGTCACATTCCTGGTAGTATATGCGGTTATCGAATACCGAAGTCCTTTCCAAGGCATAGTCCCATGATAGCGGTGAGGGTCGAAAGTCGTAGGACAACGTTTGGTGTTTTGCAGGATCCCAGGCACTCTCTTCCCGCCTTTTTGCTTCCATCGAACACCATCCACTCGAGCGTCATCCACCTCAAGCCACAGTTCGCCTTTGGCGAAGCGCCCAAAGGAAACTGTATGGTTTGGCGCTTGCTTGTGGTTGTGGGTGTCGATATGAACCTTGGCCACCATGTTGATGTTGGCTGTCCACGAAGACCACTCCTGACCTGGGAACCTGTCGGCCATCCATAAGTTGCCGTACTTGGTCACTTCGGGCAATAGAACAGCCGCTCGGGTCACGCCGGTCATATTGCCTCGCACATACAGCCCGAAAACCCAGGAAGTTGCCGTAGGACTTTTAGCCCGCATGGTCACCTCCCGGTTGTTCTCCATCTTGGTTGGGAGACGATCCAAGACTGACTGCATAGCTTCATAAGAAAAGTCCCGACTGATGCCCAGGGTTTTGGCTAACTCCTCCGCCCCCTGCATGGACTCAATGGACTCCTGAGACTGACTTATGTGGTAAGCCTGCGCCACCGATGACACCCCCGGCAAACTGGACGGAGAAGTTCTGGAATCCGACGGTGATGTCATACTCGACGGCGCAGGCAAACTGGACGGAGAAGTTCTGGAATCCGACGGTGATGTCATACTCGACGACATAGGCAAACTGGACGGAGAAGTTCTGGAATCCGACGGTGACGTCATACTCGACGACATAGGCAAACTGGAGGGAGAAGTTCGGCTGGAATCCGATGGCGATGTCATACTCGCGGAAGCCGTCGGCGCCGAACTCACCGAAGTCGCCGAGGCCAATATTGCACCATTCAATATTGCACCATTCACACCAGTCACACCCCCCCAAATCATGTTGGCCGAGGCCGCCGGTAACTGAAAGGGATCTGAACCGTCTTTCGGACGAAATTGGTCTGGAAGCTGCCATTCGGTCTGGTTGAAGTCGAGAATGTTAACGGCACGATGGCCCGAGGGAAGCCGCACCATGGGTGTGCGGTGGCCATCCGGAGTAGCCAGCACATTGTTGCTCAGATCGATGAGCGCGCGAATGGCCTCAAGGTACGAAATGGGTAAGAGCGGGGGCGTGCTGAAGCTTTCCGAATCCTCAACCACTGAAAAGCGAACGACGCCAAGGATGCCCGCGACACAGGTGGGCATGTCCACCAGCTGGGTCACTGTTGCCGAGCCGCCGATGCCAGCACAAGGGATGGCCTGCTGCAAGGACACTGGGACAAATCGCAGGCCAAATGTAGCCAGCTCGGCTGACAACAGTTGCAAAGCTTTGGACCCAACCACGGCGTCTTCGGCAGCTGTATCCACAAGGGCTTGACCCCCTTGAACCCGGACTCCCGCAAAAATAGACAATCTATCTGCCAACGCAACAGAGGAAGAGGGCCGTGCCGAACCAGCCGACAAGGAGGTAGTAGACGAACCTGCAAAGACCTGAGTGTGGCTGGGGGCTCCATGACACACAACAAAGTGGGCACGCTTCGCATTCGATGGTGTGCCTTTGCCAGCTCCTTTGAGCGGGCAGTCTTTGGCATAGTGCCCCAACTCATTGCAATTAAAGCACCGTACTCGAGCTTGTAGGTCTTGCGCTGAACCTCGCACCATTTTGCTGTCGACCTTATTCGGCGAGCGAGTGCCTTTCGCTCCTCGATCTCCGCCACGAAACCGACCACCTTTGCGCGAACCACCTCGGCCACGTCCAAAGGGTCGAGACGTAGACGAGCTTCTATGGCGGATAAATCCTCTCTCCTTCTTTCTGTCGCGCAGGTCCTTGCGAATGTCGGCATAAGCGCTATGATACGCACTAATAAACAAGGCCTCTTCTTCGTCGTACTCGCGGTCCTCAAACACCAAATCATCTTCACCCCAACTTTCTTCAGACTCCTCCTCATCCACTGGCTCTTCGTCCTCGACAAACTCATCTTGTGGATCCTCTTGAGCATTTTGAAGCACAGGAAAATGCTTTGCTCCTTGAGGGCCCAATTCCGAGCCAGCAGCCTGAGCCAGAAGTTCAGGGCGGTCGAGCGGACGAAGAAGTGAAGCAACCTGGTCGAACGTCAGAAGTTGCGCTTGATCTTTGAGGGCCAACATTTCGCGTTGGAAGTCTGATAAATTCGACTGGCGAAGTAATATTCGGCCAGCCACTTTCTCCGAGAGCCTCTCTTGTAGATGAAGCTCAAGTTCCTGTCTGGCCACCTCCTTGTTCGCGATGAAAGTCGCAAAGCTTTCACCCTTTCCCCTTTCACCAGTGAACAGAAAGCGGTCTATCGCCGCGGGCGCCGCAATGTCCAAGAAGGGCTTGTACTTGGCCATCAACTGGGTCAAAATATAGCCATAGCCACGCTCACTGAGCAGGTCCTGCATCGGAATCTGATCCGCAATCTTCCTTGGTTGGGATGACTCCGGGAAGCTTTGGAAGAGACGAAGGCCCCAACGATCACGAGCCAAGGTTGTCTCGCTTTCCCAAACTGCCAGCAGTTTTAACCAGCTCCTGAACGTGGCCGGTTGGCCACTCCAAGTAGGAATACTTCGCTTTTCTCCAGTGATAGCCTGAATGAAGCGCTCGCCCTGGTCCATCGGCTTGTTGTTTGCCCCCGGTGAAGGAATGCCAAGCACCTCGAAGGCAGACTGGACCCGGGTCGGCGCTGAAGCTCGAGGAAGCTGACCATCCAAACATGAGGCCGCGGCTGCCGCATTGTTGCACTGAAAAGAAAAAGGCGAAGCTGAAGAAGACGCGAACGCCGTAGGACTTGAAGACGGCGAGGAATGTCCTTCTGCAGGAGGAAGCCAAGATGCCGGCGACGGAGTTGCACAGTTAGAAGGCGCGAATGCTGTAGGGCTCATTGACGGAAAAGGCATAGGTCCAACACCGCCGTTCACACGTGAATCAACACTTTGAGTTCCGAACCCTACATCCAAACCCTGAGGCCTACCTGGAGGGTCGGGGGAGTTAGCAAGCGGGTAATAAGTAGACATATTAAGTACCCTAAAAAGGGCCCTAATTGGGGTTATATACAAATAAGTCTATAAAATAACTACTTACTAAGTCCCCCGACCCTCCAAGTACACCCTAAACCCTAAACCCTAAAACCCTAAAACCCCAAACCCCTAAACCCCTAAAACCCTAAACCCAAGACCCCTAAGCCCTAAACCCCTAAGGCCCAGTGACTGGTGCATGGCACGGCCGTTGCTGATGAAGCTGGGCCTGGGTACTGCAGGGGCCTTAATGATTCGACTAGGGTTCCTTTAAAGGGATCCTTAGGGCTTAGGGGGTTTAGGGTTTAGGGTTTAGGGTACTGTAGGGGCCTTAACAATTCGACTAGGGTTCCTTTAAACGGATCCTTAAAGGGCTCCGTGGATCTATACTATAGGGTTCTGGTTCTATAAGGGATCTATACTATAGGGTTCTATATTAGGGGTCTGAATAGTTAGACTAGGGTTCTGGGGCCCATTATACTATAATTAGAAAAAGGAGCCCCCCCCCCCAAGAAAAAAAAAAATGTATAAACCCTAAACCCTAAACCCTAAATAGTATAGGTAATTGCTATTAAGGCCCCTTTGCTACTGCCTAAACCCTATAAACCTAAACCCTAAACCCCAAACCCTAGATAGTATAGGTAATTGTTATTCAGGCCCCGATACGGTTGATGATATAAATCCTGCATTACCCATAATAAGGAAGGAATCTACCATAACTCTCATAGTTTAGGGTCCTTAAGGTCATGCAGGATTTATCATCAACAGTATTACTTACTGCAAGGGCTTCGGGAACTAGGGCCCCACGGGTTCCTGGCGCGGCTCTATGAGGCTTCCCTTGGGGCTCTTAGGGTGTATAGGGCTCTTAGGGCTTTTAGGGTCTATGGGGTTTATAGAGCTTATAGCGTTTATAGGGTAGGTAGGGTCTATAGAGTTTATAGAGTTTATAAGGTTTTTTGGGGTTTTACAGGGTTTAAACGGTTTATAGGGCTTGCTGGGTTTAGGGCTTGGGGGGTTTATAGGGTTTAGGCTTTAGGGTTTGGGTTAGAAGGGTTCCGGGTGTGGCAGTGAAGCTTCAGGGTTTAGGGGTCTCGGTACGAGGTGCTTTTTGGGATTCCATGGAGACTGCGTTGATAGGTTTGACAAGCCTCTACATAGTCCAGGCTTGGGTGCTAGCCATGGCCGAGCTTCACTTGGTAGTCTGAGTCTCAGTGATGATTGCCGACTGTGCCAGGGTTGCAATTCAGGATTTAGGGATGCACTATGATTCTGAGGACGCCTGACGATGGTTTAGGTACAAGCAGGTGCATCCCAGCTTGACCTTTCAGCAGGGGGTAGGGCAGGGCTTTGTAGTTCGGGGATTAGCCTTACCCTTCCTAATCCCCTTATAGTACTCTCACAGGAGGCCTTAAGTTAAAGGAACCCTCAGCAGCAAACACTAGACCCTTAAAAGCAGCACTTAGCGACTTAAAGGGGCCCCTTCAAGGAGCCCCTGATTATGGAACCTTATAATAATTCACCCCCCCCTATGAGGAAGCCTTAGAGCCTTAGAAGAGCCCTTAAAGGAACCCTTTAGCAGGGTCGCAGGTAGTTGCGGAAGAAGTGGTCGTTGAAGAATGCAACGTCAGCCTCGCGGCAGCCTCGAAACGAGGGGACGCAATGGTTTAGGGTGTAGGGGTTAGGGGTTCAGGGGTTTAGGGTTCAGGGCTTTAGGGGTTTTGGGCTTTAGGGGTCTTGGGGTTAGGGGTTTAGAAGAGATCTGTAACGGGGTTGTCCTAGGCTTTATCGGGGCTCTAAGGGTCCAGGGCACAATAAGCAAGCAGAGATCGTAGTTTTTTGACTTCTGATCGTTCATCATGATGTTCTTGGTATTACTATTCCTGTTGCTGTTCCGATATCACTCTTACTGTCATTGCTGTGAGGCTAATTGCAGTGCGTTCTGTGGCTTGAAATTTCAGAGATCGCGGTGTGGGGTTAAGGGAACATTACAAGCCCCTGTTAAAGAGGAAAAATAAACCCTAAAGCCTAAACCCTTAAACCCTAAACCCTAAAACATTACAAGCCCCTGTTACAAAGAGAAACACGGCCTCATGGGCAAACCCTGGCTTCGAGCAGCCTTCAAATGCGATGTGTCGCGAATACGATAGTCCACAAGACCAGAGGGGGGCCGTAAGGAGCAGAATAGGGTTGAATAGGGACTTTGAGTACATTGTACTAGAATATTGTAGCAGGAAACCGTTGGAAAAATTGTATTTCTGCTTATTTGGGGCTTCTCTTTTGGCCCTTAACTGTACATTTTGGGTTTGGGGTCAGGGACTGGTGCTTCAGGCTTTGTGTCTCGGAAATTTTGGGGTTAGGGCTTTAGGGCTTTAGGGGTTTAGGGGTTTAGGGTTAGGGTTAGGGTTTAGGGTTTAGGCTTTAGGGTTGAGGGTTTAGGGTCTAGGGTTTAGGCTTTAGGGTTTTGGGTTATATAGGCTTTAGGGTCTCAGAGATCCCGGACTGAACCATGGGCATCGGGAAGAACCCAACCTCTGCTCGCAGTCTGCATCCAAGTCAATCCTCATACGTTCCAATCTCTACCGCCACAATCCTGAAGCCCAAACAACGAAACCAAGCAAACCACCCTAGAGCCGGAACTATATGAGAGCCTAAACCCTACAGATTTTTTTGCGGCGTATCCCTAATGGTCCATGTACTTACATGGACTGAAATTGTGCTATCGCCTTGGAGGGGATACCATATAGAGGGATTCGGCATGATTAGGGTTTGTTTAGGGCTTTAGGGCTTTAGGGTTTTAGGGTTTAGGGTTTAGGGTTTTAGGGTTTAGGGTTTAGGGTTTTAGGGTTTAGGGTTTAGGGTTTAGGGTTTGAGGGTTTAGAAGTATATATTAAAAAAAGTGCCAGGCGCATGGATGCTTAAGGCATTCTCGGACAAGTGTGAGGGGAAGTGATGAGACGTTCAGCTCGAGAATCATGAGCCTATGAACCCAAAAACCCTGCAAACCACATAAGCCCCAAACCCTAATTCCGTAAGCCCTAAACCCGAAACCCCATATATAACTTCTAAACCCTACTATAAGCGCCAAGCCCTAACCTGGGTTAGTTAAGGAATCTAATTCAATATAAAGTTACCGAAATAAGGCGGAAACCATGCTGTGCCATGCTGATTGATCATTCTACCAAACCGCTACTACAGGAACATAACCTAGGCTCCTGAACCAGAATCCCAGCAAAACCTACAAACCCCTAAACCCCTATATAAACCCTGGACCCTGAACCCTAAACCTTTAGGGTCTAGGGTTTAGATAAACCCTGGACCCTAAGCCCTAAACGCCCATAACATGGTAAGACGCAGGAAACTGCATTGGCTTGGAGGCCTTCGGGCGCTTCCTCGATCTCCCGGATGTTGGCTGAACCTTTCAGGGTTTTACTACAAAAAGGGTTTAGGGTTATTAGGGTGGTAGGGTTTGGGGTATAGGGTTTAGGGGTTTAGGGTTTAGGGTTTAGGGCTTAGGGTTTAGGGTTATTAGGGTGGTAGGGTTTGGGGTTTTGGGGTTTAGGGCTTTGGGGGGGTAGGGTTTGGGGTGTTCGGGTTTAGGGTCACTATAAAGAGGGCTTAGGGTTTTAGGGGGTTAGGGTTTGGGGTGTTGGGGTTTAGGGTTACTACAAAAGGGTGTATGAATCCTATTTTTCAATAGGGCCCTTTTCGTCCGCATGGAGTCTCCTGCATCAGAATCCTCACCAAGAGGAGAGCATGGGTAGGGCTTAGGGCTTTGTGGGGGAGAGGCTTGGGGCCTGTATGTTGTACTTTAGGGTTTAGGGTTTAGGGCTTAGGGTTTAGGGTTTAGGGTTTAGGGCTTAGGGTTTAGGGTTTAGGGCTTAGAGCTTAGGGTTTAGGGTTTACTTGGCTGACTTCTGGACCCCTCCTAAGAGTCAATGTTTTAGGATCCTTATGATAGTTCATATAGAAACCCCAAAAAAGGTTGAAGTCCTAAGAGCGAGCCAGAAGAAGGCCAAGGTCTTAGGGGTTTGGGATTGCGATCAAGGCTTCAGGTTTATAGGGCTTGGGGTTTCAGGTTTTGGGAAATTTGGGGTTCCGGGATTGGGCCGTAAGGCCAAAGGCGCTACCACAGGGGCCTATCACGAGGGGTGACTCCAAGGGATATCTCAGTCTTCGGAGGCTGAAGCTTCCACATCGCAACCCTACGACTAGGAACACCAAAATCAAAAAGTCCTAAATCCTACATTGGGTTTAGGGCTTAGGGTGCTACGGTTGATGACATTCATCCTGCAGTACCCATAAAAAGGAATAGACCATAATTCCCATAGTTTAGGGTCCTTCCAGGATGTATATCATCACATGTAGGGATATTGCGGCCCTAAACCTCTACCGGCCTAAATTCTAAACCCTAAACCCTAAACCCCTAAACAAGCCCTAAACCCTAAACCCTAAACCGCAACCGAAACCCTAAACCGCTCCGCGTCCTCCAGCCTTGCACGCTAGAACCACTCCAGGAACAATGCAAGAGTTGAGGGTTATAAGTTATAGGGGTTTAGGGTTTAGGGCTTACGGCTTCGGGTTTAGGGCTTAGGGCTTAGGGT